TTTAGCAGAAATAAATCTTGTAGTAGCGCCATGTACTTTTGCTTTACATGAAAGTCCGTCAAAGGACAATAAGCCTTTTTAATTTGTTTGGTTCAGAACAAGTGTGTGTCTCCTTTGCTGACTTCAGAGCTGAGTATTAAAGCTATGGGCCTCATACTTGTCTATTACTGCTATAATGAGGTACCAGGTCTAGATTGACATCTTTTTAAATTCCATTTTCTGATTATACGATTAACTCTATAAGTATTCACTTATAATAAGAGGTTTCAAAGTGCAATTTTATTTAACTTAACATATTAGAGCATCTGAACCCCATGAAACTACCATAGAGAAATGAAACATTTTATATGGTGCATCTGTAGCATTTATATTATTTATATATCACTTTGCCATATTGTCATGTAGTTATAATGCAAATAATGCACTGAGTTTTTCACTGCATTGTTCTCTAACCATACCTGTGTTTTCATCCTGGTGTAGGCTTTGTTTTAATTGTCTTTTTGGTCATTTTTAAAATAGGGATAAAAGGAATTTGCCATTTACGCCTATTTTGGCATCAGTGAATCGCCTTATTCGTTACCACCTTGGTACAGTGGCAAAAGGATCTTTCATTATTACATTAGTCAAAATTCCACGAATGATCCTTATGTATATTCACAGTCAGCTCAAAGGAAAGGTAAGGGGAAAATGCTTTCTGGACTCTCTATGGGTATATTCCAGACCTCAGTTCTGCACATAGTAGAGCACCCAATCCAAAGTTGTGAATGTTTTCTTCAAAGTCTTTACAAGACAGAATTCAGTCCTCTCCCCTGTCTCCCACTCGTGCACTCCACATACTCTGGCAAAATTCATCTAATCACTGGTTACTGAAAGTATCCTGTGCTGTTCTTCCTCTCTGTTGACTCACACACCTTCTTCCCTATCCTCAACTATAGAAATAACACGTATTTCAACATAGTTTAGCTCAAATGCCACCTCTTCCTCAAAACCGTTCCCGATTCCTCTCATCTCCCAGACAGTGTTGTCTCTGTTCCCTACTCTCATAACACTTAGTATCAATACCATATTCAGATTTTAACCTTTTTTATGTTTAGCATTTTTTCTTCTCCTAGGTTGTTAGTTCCTTGCCGATCTTATATACCTCACTGTATCTTATATGTGATAGGTGCTAAATAAATGTTGAATTGAAATGATTAAAAATGACTCAGCCATTATGTTCTAAGGAGGAAATAGGTGGGTGTGGAGGCTTTGAAGCATAGGTTGTGATTTTTAAGTTTTTATTTATTTTTTTAAGATTTGATGTCTTTTATATCATGGTTTGATTTTTTT